ATTATTATTATTATTATTATTATTATTATTATTATTATTATTATTATAACCCAAGTCCAGACTGATATGAAGAGTGGGGTGGACAAGGGAGCCATCTTGAAGGAAGTGGGATTTGAGCTACAGACTGGGAGAGGAGGAAAAAAGAGCCTTCTAGGCAAGAGAATTCTGTGAACAACCATTTGGGAAGGAAGGAAGCATGGTCAAGATGGCGGAGGGGGAAAATATGTACATAGGGAGGATAAGCTGAGGACTTCCTGGAGAGGGCCTTGAATGTCATACTAAGAAGTTTATGTTATCCATGGTGGGCAGCTACTGAAACCTTTTTTAAAAGCCCAAATTCCAAGGTAAAATTATGTATAATGTCTAGTGAATGCATCCAGACATTCCTGGCCCTGGAGTTAGGAAGTAGGATGGAGAGGGGAGTTGGACAGTTCCTCACCCTTTAGGGAGGGCCGAATTACAGCTGGAGGGTGGAGGAAGCCAAACAAAATGAGGGGAAGTGGTGGAAATCTATTCCATGACTGCTGATTGATACGTTTGCCTTTCTTCTCTTAGATCTTGACCTGCTCAGGATTCACTGATATCACCCCACCCAAGCCGCCCTTCTCCAAACATGGTCTGGCTCTTTCTGGGCCCTGTGAGCCCAGCCAAACCCCCCATAGGCCCTATGGACCCTGGACAGGAAGGAAGGGGAACCTGGCATCATGGAACAAACTGGATGACAAGGGACTCTAGGTCTTATTTTTATCCTTAACTTCCCCCCAAAACTTGGTTGTGTTGGTTGTTGGGTTTTTTTAATTTTTTTTTTATTATTTTGGCCACAGTGCTGAGTGAAGATTGCTGATGATTTAAATTGAATAAAACAAGATTTTCTACTCTGTTGATCTCTATGTAATCTGGCTAGGACAGGACTCTGGGCAAATACCCAGCAGGCTAGACTACTATAACAAGTTTCTGGGGCTTAAACCACTGTTACTCACAGGATTTAGAGCCAAAAGGAGACCCTTCATTACAAATAAGGAAATTGAGTCCAAAAGAAAATATGTGATTTGCCTAAGGCCACATAGATGGAGCAAGGATTTGTACTCAGCTCCTCCAGTCTCTAAATCAGGGTTCCTACCATCTCTATATTCCCTTTTTGTCAAATAGAAAGACTCAAAAAGTGGAGGGCCCACCCCCACCCCCATCAGGATCACAGAGCAAATAATTAGTAATCATCTAGGACAATCCCAGCATAGATCCTCAACACTGACATTGTCCAGGTATCCATACCAAGGAGCTAGGATCACTTCATATAGAGAGGTTCAGATTCTTCTGGAAACATTATCCCTCATTCTGGGAACAAAAATCCTGGCTCCACTGCTTACTAGCTGTGTGACTCTGGATAAGTTGCTTTAACTCTGTGAGCCTCAACTTTCCCATCTATAAATGAGGAGGCTAATACTGGTATTACCTATCTGGCCAGATTGTAGTGAGGAAAGCATTTTGTGAACCCTTAAAACAGAAAATTAAACTATTATTAATATCTAAAGGAGCCACTTATCTATGATAAAAGAATCATAGATTTGGTCCAACTTCCTTGTTTTACAGGTGAGGAAACTGAGACATTCATCTACCTCAGAGGTGTTATACAGAGTGCAGCTAGAAACTGAAGAGGGAGCTAGGAATAGGGAGAGAGCATAAGTCATTTAGCCAGACTCACACAGCAAATAGTAGAGTCAGGGTTGAAATTTAGGGCTGTGATTTCATATCAAGTACTCATTCTACTATACAATGCTGCGAATGAGTTCTCACAAGGTCAACCTATGTGCTTGGAAAGGAACATTAATGATTACAGCTCAGTGCCAAAACCAAAATACACCACTACCTCAGTCCAGTTCTGTGCTCCAAGCAAAGGGATGTTGGTTAGGGATGTAAACCAGGAGGCAAAGTTTGTATTAGAGGAAGAATTCAATTCAATAAAATGTGTTTAACCACTAGGGGCACTGTTGATCAGTTGCCTGAACCTGTTCACAAATAAGGACCAGGAATTATGCGCTCTGGGTTAACATTGGTTTTTTTGTCTCTCAAAGAGCTGGTTACCTCTCTCCTCCTTTTACACTCTTTTGTGGTTGTTAACATTCGTATCTTTAGGCTACAGTGAATGTCGCCCATCAGACTTCTAAGCTTTTGGTGTCCCCATCCATTAGTAAAACTGTCCCTTGTCCAATATTTGCTGCATTTCAACAGAAATTTTCCACAAAAGCATAGCATAGTGAGTAGAGTTCTTTAATCATACTAGCAGAAAAGAATTAAATTAGTATATCAAGTACTCTGGCCCCTAAGTCCCCTCTAGACTAGGCAGCCCTTTTTGTTTGCAGCATAGTCAGAACTCAGAAGTTTAAAGAAATATAGTTCAGGAGCTGAGAGTCGAACCACTTCTGCATTTCACTTCTATGGAGAAGAATAGATGGTAGCGACTAAGTTTTGTGGACAGACGAGGCGCTGGCAGTTCTGGCTAGATCTAGAATGATTCTCCCTCATTCATCAATATTGGTTCCTCACTTTGCTTGCTGCTCCAGCCCCTGATCACTTGGGTCTCATGATGCCTTCCCCTCCTTACTCAGCTCCATATACATTTCTCATTTATCCACTTAGATTAGCTTATTCCTTCATGCAATTCACTATTCAAGTTCCATCTCAGGAGAGTGTTTGAAAGGCAATACATTGACTGGCCATATACCAAGTGTCATTTTTATCTCTTCATCTTTTTTTCTTTCTCCAAAGTCCAAGCCATCTTTCTTCGTATTTCCATTCCCTAGGGTACCAATTCTCCCATGTGAGAAGGATAGGACACATAGCACCTTTTTCAGCCTCCAAGTTGACTAAGGATCTACAATGTTCTAGTTGAGGTAAAAGATATGACAGTACATCAGGTTTAGCTGATGATGGATATGAAAAGGCTTGAAAGGTTTGAAGCAAAGTGCAGGCCTGACATACTAATGAAGGTCCCTGAATCTCGGTCCAGGGCCCATAGGCTGGCTGACTGGATGCCATGTGGGTCTAGTGCTGCTTATCACCAGGTTTGAGCTTAGGTGCTGAACTTTCTAGCCACATCAATTCTTAAAGACCATCCCCCAAGTTAAAAATGAATTTTGCTTGACATAAGTGTCAGAAGTATGCACGTGGATCAAATAATACAACTTTAGAGGATTGAAGTGTCTAAAAAAGGTTACCATATTTACTAATCCTGTAAGGGCTCAGGAATCAATGGCAATGAAATTTTCTAAGGAAGGGCAAGACACCATCCATGACATCCCCAATAGGGGCCCACCACACTTTATGCCTTTGTTAGCTACCTCATACATCCCCGACCAGTGAAAGTTCTCTGATAAGAAGCTGAGAATGTTGTCTGGAGCCAGGACCCAGGGAGCAGCTCCTGCTGAGAGTGGAGTTAATCCTCCTTCCAAAGAATCCCAGGCTTAAGCAGCAGAGCCTGAGAAACACAGGTCATGGCAGGCAAGGCCAGAGGGGGCTGGGTGACAGTATGATTGGAATGTGGTCCCCAAGCCAGCCTGTCAGTTAGCACATTCCACCTGGGCTTAACTCTTTCAGGGGACACAGGATAACAGGAGCAGCTGCAGCCCCAGCCCTCCCTGGACAGAACAGACTCTGCTGAGACAGCCTGGTACAAGGGATTGGAATTTATCATGCTTGCATCCACTTCCAAGACTTTCTACAAAGTACAACAAGAGACTGAAGAGGTGTCTGGGAGCAGGGAGACTCCTCATTCTCAGTTTTCCAAAACCACTTTATACCCATTTTCTGCATCAATCAACATGCCCATGAGGGCCTTTGAACCACCATCTTTGACTCCTTTGTCCCTTCAGGAGCTCCTAGGACCAGGAAGAGAAGCAAGAGAGGGAGAAGGAAGGAAGAGTCAGAGTACCTTAGAAAGTATAATGTTAGGGCTAGAAGAAACCATAGAGCATAAAATTATAGAATTTTGAGTCTGAAGAAACTTTAGAGATCGTTTGATCCAATACCCTTGTTAATTTTTTCAAATAAGTTTTATTGATGCCTTTTTTTACACCACAATCATTCCCAGATAATATATAAGACCACCACCAGATGAGCTCTTCCTTATAACAAAGAAAAACAATTAAGTAAAGTCAACAGTCATTGTGACTGCCTTTAGGTATGTACCATTCTATACCCATATTCCCCCACATCTCAATCGGAAGGAAGCCTCTCATTTTACAGAGAAAGAAGCAGAGGCCCAGAAAGGGAAAACTGTCCAAGGCTTCACAAAGAGCCAGAATTAATCTCCTGCCTCCGAGTCTAAGACTCTTTTCATTATATCATGTTGCATCTAAATTGGGGGGAAACAAGTAGAAGATGCCTTTTCAACCAAGAGATATGAGATAAGCCATACAAGGAGAGACATACAGGTGTGTCCTCAAGAGTTTGAGCTGCCAGGGATGCAGAGGTAGGTTTGCATCAGTCTGGGTAGGGGTGGGAGGGAGAGAAATTTTGGAAAGCTTTTTCTTACCCTGGGGATTTAGGGATACATCAATCCGCTGTTCTCTTCTTAAGGACACAGGACATTCAGGTCCCTAAAAAGAAAGGGGACATTCTTAGCAACTGAATAACAATAATTGACACTTAGGTTGCATTTCAAAGTTTGAAAAACCCTTTCTTGTTTCATAGGGCATCACAACAACTATACTAGAAATACCATAGGTATCATAATCTCCATGGTACAGAAGAAAAGTGAGGCCCAGGGAACCTCACGAAATGCTTTGTCCAGAGTTACAGAGCTAGGAGATGTCATGGAGGGGGCCTGAGCCCAAGTCTTCCTGCCTCCAAATCTAGGGGACTGTCTCCTCCATGCCACATAACATACACAAAGTGCTTTCTAAACGTTGTACTTTCTGGCTGATGATGGTGATTATCAGGGTAACAAGCCACCAAGAGGAGAGAGCAAGTATTGGTTATGAACCTACTATGCACCGGCCACTGCTCAAAGTACTTCACAAATATGATTTCATTTAATCTTCCCAACCACCCGGGAGATAGGTGCTGTTTTTATCCCCATTTATTGTGGAGAAACAGAAGCAGAAAGAAGTTAAGTGATTCGCCCAGGGTCACACAGCTGGTGTTAGAGGTCATATTTGAACTCAGGTCTTTCTGACTACAGGCCCAACATTTTATCTAGTAGGCCACTGAATTTATCATCATCATTGTCATTGTCATCACCATCATCATCATCATCATCATCATCAACATCATTTCTATTATTATTATTATTATTATATATCTAAATTAGGCAAAGTAAGCTCTTACATGAGGTGATCTGAGGGTTCAGGGGACACGCCACCTTGCCCAAAAGTATTATGTACAATCCTTTAGCCTTGCATAGTACTTAACATTCTGACAAACTCGATGGAATGTTTCCCTTTGGGGTCACCAATACTTCTCTAGGCACCTATACAACATCACAATTCCCCTTGGGAGGAGAAATTCACTCTCTCCTCCTTCTTCTCTGGTTTTTTTGGGCTAGGCAATGGGGTTAAGTAACTTGCCCAGGGTCACACAGCTAATAAGTGTCAAGTCTCTGAGGTCAGATTTGAACTTGGGTTCTCCTGCCTCAAGGGCCAGTGCTCTAGCCATTGCACCACCTAACTGCCCCTCCTTCTTCTCTGGAAGGTAACTTGTCAAATAAAAGCTCTCCAGAATAAGGAGTGGGCATGAGGTCTGGGATGGGGGGAGAAGGTGAGGATGGAATAATCACTCTCTTGCAAGGCCAAGAATGACTCCCTCTCACTGAACTATAGAATCAGAGGATTTCCTGATTTCTCACCTTCTTCCATTTGTCTAACCCTATGCCCTCTGAA